TTTTGATTTGTATTTTCTATTTTTTGTTGTTTTTTATTGTAATCATGTTGAGTTTGTTTCTTTTCTGCATCTTAACTTTTTATAGTCATGTTTAGCTTCTTTTCAGGTTGTTTCTTTTTAGCCCTTCTTAATTTTTTTTTGTTAATTGTAAAAGAGCTACCTTATATAGATTTTACTCTGTTAACATTGCTACGATTCTGTCTTCTCTATCTGGTACTGCATATGTTTTGACTACCTTATTAACAAAACTTTGTTATGTATACTATTTATTGCTCCAGTATGCTCTTTTTATAAAAATGGTTTGTAGACTTTTCTATATTTTTGTAATATGCTTTTGTTTATTTTGCAGCTTATTTTTTAGAATGTTCTATTACATAATTTTGTTATATTCTGATTACCTGTTGTTCTATTGATGTTTTGTTTATACTATTTGTTTTACTATTCTATATATATCTGTTTTGCCTAATCTGTTACATATTACTTGTATAATGTAAACAGATCAATATACAGAGTTAATAGCAATTCCTACAATTTCTGTTTATTTGCTAAATTTTTCAAAGAAACTTGAGTTTTCCTCTACAATTGTTTTGCTGGTGTCTGCAGTACTTCCTATTACTAAGCCTATTTAGTGCTCTTTTTGTTGCTATCTCTTTTTTTTAGTGTTGTTTGTAATCTTTCTTATTGCTGGTTATGCAGAAAATCTGTTTTCTTTTTTATCAATTTTGTGTTCAAGTGATTATTGGAGAGAGTTTAATGATTAATTTGATAATTTTTATTAAAGTAATAGAATTATTTATAATTCAGTATATAAATCTTATTATTATATAAATATTTTATACATTCTGTATATTTTCTGTAATTTTTATTAATATTTTAATATATATTTTTCTATAGGAATTTAATTATAAAAAAAAATGAAATAGACTATTCTTACTTTCAACTAGTAAGAACTATTTTAGAAGGTCATGATGAAACTACTATAGCTAAACAATGCATTGTTATAATCTGTGCTCAGTTTTTAGTTATATATGTAGATCCATGCAGAAAATCATTCAATATACATATTAATTTTTATTCTATATGTTTGTATATATATACAACACAGCAATATGATGCAGCAAAAAAAAAATTCTATATATCTGATATAATCGAAGTTTATTCTGAGTTTTCTTAACATTACTTATATATTGCAATATGTTAGTATTAATATTATACAAATAAATGCATTAAGATTAGCATTAGTAGTAAATTAAATATGTAGCATAGATTAATTAATTATAAATTAATAGCTTTCTAGTTTAATAACAAGGTTAATATATTTATTATCAATTTAGTTTTAATTGCATTTCAATTATAATATATACAGTAGGTGGCAAAAGTAATGTCCAATTTGTAAATTGATGCATATGCACAAATAAAAGAATTTGATTTGTCCCTAAAAGACTATTTTGGGGCAAATTTTTTTTGTTTTTTGCTTCTTTGACATCAAAACTACCAAGCTGTAAAAAAAAAAAAAACTTTTTTATAATATGTTATGCACCCAGATGACAGACAAAGAAAAGAGCCTGATACTTGCTTTTATTGAATATATGAGTGCAGAGCAAGTTGCCCTCAAAATTGGCCATGACCTAACAACAGTTAGAAGGTTTTTAAAGAAGCACAAGGAGACAAATAATATCAAGAACTTACCTCGCTCTGGACGTCCTCCATTCTTAAAAAAGAAGAAAAGGCTGCCATACTAAAAAAAGCATTGAAAGAGAGACGCAAGCCCCTGTGTAGCATTATCAAGAATTTAAACCTACAATGCAGCAAGAGGATTGTAACTAGAGCCTTGCATAGCTTTGGGATACATTCCTGCATTGCTGTGATAAAACCTTTTTTGTCTGTGAGTAACATAAATAGATGCAAAGATTGGTGTGAAAAAAATTTATATAAGAACCCATATGAGTGGTGGCGTGTTATTTTTTCAGATGAAATGAGTGTAGAAGTTGGTAAACAATCTTGTTAGGTTTGAGTGTGGCATTATGCAGATGAAAGGTATAAACATGAGTGTCTGGTGCCAAATTTTAGGAATGGTAGGGTGTCAGTAATGGTGTGGTCATGCTTTGTTAATGAAATCAAAGGTCCTATAGTTTTTTTTGATGATTATAAGTATTCCAAACAAAAAATTAACAAAATAATTTACACCAAGGTTCTTGAGAACAATCTCATACCATTTGTTGCTGCCATATGTTCGTTAGTTGGGTCAAATTTAATATTTTAGCATGACAATGCCCCTATACATAAGGTAACAAAATGGCTTGATTCAAAAAACATTAAATATATGACTTGGCCAGCATGATTCCCTAACCTAAACCTGATTAAGAACCTTTGGAAGATTGTAAAAAATAATATTTAAAATCGAAAGAACTTTCCAAAAGATGCAGATGAGCTCAAAATAGCAATTAAAGAGGCATGGTCAAACTTGGATGTGTCAGTTCTTTGGACTCTTGTAGAGTCAGTACAGTGAAGAATTGAAGAAATAGCAAGTGTGAAGGGTTATTCGTTCAAATATTAAATAAATATAAAAAAAAATATTATGTATATAGGGCAGAAATTTTATTAATAAAAAAATTTCCATTTTGAGTGAAATTCAGGTGTTACTTTTGCCACCCACTGTATATAGCATATAATAGTATATTAAAATTTCAATATTATTATCATTATGTATTAATATATGCACTTAATCATAAGCATTAATTTCAGAGAATTACAGAGATTATCTTATAAAAAAGATTATCACACATAAATATATGCATTAAAAAAATTGCAAATTATTATAAAAGAATCTTCAAAAAGATTAAAAAAAAAAATAAATACATTTACTAATTATTTTATATAACACCATTTGGCTGATTTTCTTCCAAGGCCTTACTTAGATTATGTGTTTGTTTTGTTTGCTGTCTTTATAATTATGCAGGTATAATATAATAATTTAACTTCTTAATATCATGAGTGGTTTCTTGTAAACTTGTTCTTGGCTTTTCTTATAAATTTTTTTAACCTTTACTTGCAGTTTCTTTACATTTAGCAACTGAAGCAACCTGAACTTTAATCCTTTTACCACTATGCTGATGATTATTACTATTTACTTGATTCTTTTTCTAGTCACAAGTTTGAAAAAAAAGCTATAGCTGGACAGATATGAATATCTTGTATCAAACAGTGTTTTTTATAGGCTTTGATAAACTTGTACACACCTTTGTTAAATGTAGAATCATTTTCTTTAATAAGATTTTTTATATTATTATTATTTTTTTTTTAATATTAATGGTGAGGCTATGTCTCTATCTTTATTGAATATTTAATTAAGATTTTATATAAAGTACAATTCTGCTTTTAAAATATTATAGAAAGAATAGAAGCTTAGACTAATTTATCTGTGACCTAAACCAACTAGAGTGGCCAAGACTCACCTAGATTTGAGTATTAGTAATTATGCATAAAGAATTAGTTTGATATTTAATCCATTGAATATACCAAGAGTTTATTTTTGACCTAATAGAATTGAGTGAAAGAGAATGTAATGAAAGTGAGGCAGCATTTGAAGGTGTGTTATATTCAGAAGTTTGGGTTATAGATCTTGAAATACAATATAGAATCCAGATTTTATGATAAATTTGTTAGTTGAGATGAAATAAAACTTGGTAACAAGTGTTGTAGCAATTTTTTTGAATGACAGATTTGCAATAATGTCAATAAGTTTATTTGGTATTAAACCTATTAGAGTTGAAAAGATTAAAGATAAGTCTGGTATGCTGTGAATAGTCATACTACTCAACAGCTTGATTTGGTTATATAAATTGGCTACAGTATTTGAAGTAGTATTGAGTGTTTTAGTGTTTAAAGTATGTTGTAGTGAAATGTCTATAAGGCTGTATAGTTTTCTATATTATTATAAAACTAATGAAATTCATTTACAGTTAATTGATTGAGATTTTCATCATTTTCATTATCATTACTATTATTGCTAGATTCATTAATACTAGATTCATTGGCACTCTTATCACCACTATTAATATCAGTAGCTTCATTATTTAAAAATTGAAAAAATAACATAGCTGAAGACCCAGGAAGCATATTTTCTTTGTCATAATTATTAAAATTACAATTTGCATTTTTAATTAAAGTATTACATGTTAACATTGTAAATTTAACTATGGACTTTTTATCTATTTGTGCTTGATGAAGATTTGCATAAAAGCTAAGTTCTTTACATTTTTCTCCTAATGCTAAGTAAGCATAATTGTACTGACCAACTATAGACATTGTGGGTAACTAATTTAATCCACATATACAATAGTGAATTGCTATAGAGAATTGATGTTTGCATGAAACCCCTGTTGGATCACATTTACACATTCCAAGCCACATATCTACAAAATACCATATATCAGGATTTTTGCTACTTCAATACTTATATATCATTGATTCATAATTTATAACTTTAATATCATCTAGTGATCCAATTTGCCAACCTAAAAGTTGAAACCGATGTGCAATAAAATTGTCAAGTTTATTATGAGCAACTGCTAGCAATTTCATATATAATAGAGGTCTATTGTATTAATTATAAAGTAAAAAATTTGTACTATATTGTATACTTGTATTTGACCAAATATAGCATCTTTAATTACTCAAATTCCAGCCTCTAAGAAATTATTTGTATGATTATTTCAAACAGATAAGTGTTGGCGATATGCAATAGCCTATTTCTTACATTGCTCCTACATGACTTCAAAATGTTTTTAAAAACGTGAATATTTTAAATACACTTGACTTAATATAAACATAATATGTGTATCTTCAAGCCTAGTTTCAGTTTTTACAAAAACTATCTTTTTCAAATATTCAATAAGGGCAACATAATCATTTTTATTGATTCCATGCTTGCTATCCTATAACTATTTCTATACTGCTTGTAAAAAGTGAAAAACACATAGTAATAATGTTGCTTTATTCTATATATTATGTAATGCTGTTCTTTTTACTTTACAATTATCAGTCATAAAAATTTTTGATCTAATTACAGGCTCATGTTCATTAAAAACTGATATTGGCATAACATATGTTAGCATATCTAAGGCTTTTGTAAAAGTATTAGTCATTTTATCAGAAGTAAGTATTATTGCAAGAGACAAGCTACTGATAGATGTGCTTGTTGAAAGGATTGTCATTGGGGTGTTAAATATATTAAGGCCTGCTATACTGTCTATGTAAACTAATTTGCCAGCTTGCTGCAAAGCATGACAATGTTTTATAAGATTTGTTACAATAACTAAAACAAGCAATTGCTCAGGGTTAGTATTTGTAGATGCAATATATAGTTGCATTAAAGCATTTCCTTTTCCATTAGAATTAAATTCTTTAACTTCTTCTGCTAATCGACTAACCATTTTTTTTTTATTTCATATGTTAATAAAAGTGTCAAGGTATTTCTGATGAAGATAATAAACATTGTATTTATGTAGACAAATTGCTCTATCAGCAAGAATAGTTTTATCATTATCATACTTTAACTGTATCTTCTCTATATACATATAATAAGTACTACTGAAATTGTGACCAGTATAAAAAAGCCTAAAAAATACTTCTTTTGTCTCATTAGAAATAAGATGAAAGCTTGTTATATGGCCTGATGTGAGAAGATGATTATAATGAAATTTTAAAGAAATTATATAAGAATATGAGTCAAACATATTCATAATTGTATGCTAAGTGTTGCCAAACAGTTAGTAGCCTATATTTATATGTTAACTATTTAATTTTTTTTATTATCTATAGTTTTGTTTTTTGCATTAGTATTATCATTATTTTTTTCTTTTAGTTCTTGCTTTAGCTTTACTGTATGACTATAAATACAATAGAATCATTTAGAAAGAAGGTATTTAACTCTTTTAATGATTCATCTCTGTGTTTCCCACATAGTAGTCTTGTGCAGATTGGAAAATTCATCAAACCATTTTGTAGTATCATCAACTGTACAGATATTTACATGAAGTTTTGCTTCAAATGAATTAGAAAATGCATTCAAAAAATTTAATACTTGAAATAGTTTAAATGAATCAACAATATAATGATAATTTAAAGACAAAGAACATTCTAAAGTAGTAAGATTAATCATTGTAATCTTTTGTAACTCAATATTTTAAGACAAAGAAATATGTGATATAAAGGTTTGTATAATTTTATTATTTGATTTTGATATTATTTTTTTTGAAGTGGCAGGCATGTCAATAGTATTCATGTATTAAAAAAAAATAAGGTAAACATTATATTTACTTTATTATTAAAAATTTAAAAATTATGCAAAATATCATTATTAGAATGTAAATCATCAAAATAAATGTAGTCATTAAAATGTTATAAAATGCAAAAAGTAATTATTGAAACATAAAATATAATCATAATGTAATATACAAATATTATTATATTTTTTATTTTGATGTTTCTTCTACTATAGTACTAGCATATTATATTAAGTAGTAACACTAACTGATTATTTTTATTATCATGAATATACAAGCTAGTCAACCTATTTTATATCACTAACTATTTATTGAAACTATTCAAACTATTGTTTTTGCTTTCACTTTAATAAACATTTAATATTCTTTAGATCAAATGCTTGAAACTTATACATTAATAAAGTCTTTAATTTTATATCAATATTTATAATAACTTTATAATACGCATACTTGATAATAAATTGATTCGTTTAAGATAGTTTAACTTAATATATATTTAAAGAGCAAAGAATAAATAACCATGATTCGATTAATTAGTTTATATCTATATGCATATACTAATATGAGAGCTTTATATTTTTATACTATTTTATTGATTGTTTAAGGATAGAGTCTGATGTAGATCATTTGTCATATGATTTGCATGTCCGATTAAAATTTTTATAAAAAATTGAAAGATGTTAATAATAAAACTTTTTATAATGAGGTATGGGTCCCATAGCTTAGCGGTTAAGCTCCCATGCCCCCACAGTCAAGGTCAATGGTTCAAGTCTGGCTGGAGGCAAAAATCAAAAAAGATTTTAGCCTCTGTAACCCAATATGGAGCCAGTAATTGAACACGAAGCTTTGTGGTCAAGTCCAAGTACAGTATATGACTGAAGTAGGAATTCCCGGAAGGAGACCCAATCATGGAGCACAGGCACTATGTGTAACAAGTGGTTGTTACAGAAGGTCACGGTTATGGAAAGATTGCATATGTAAGTCCTTTAGGCTAGGGCCGCACCAACATCCCCATACCTCCTAATTAGGCAGTGCCAACATCTCCGCACCCAACTTGTGGGGTACTTGCTTGGAAGGATAATCAACGGATTGTGCAAATAAGTCCTAATTG